TTATTGATAGATGTCATCTTTATAGTTTACAAAATAACACAATAATCGTAAGCAGCAATTTTTAGAATTGAAAATACGCACTAATTTGCTTGAACAGTTATTACATAATTGGTTATTTTTGCGACAGTTTTCTGTTGAGCACTTGCTTAAGAAAAAGTCTGATATGTAGCGCACATACACACATCTATATATATATATATATATATATATATATATATATATATATATATATATATATGCATGTTTCATTAAAAACGACAGACAAGGTACTACGGTTAAGCTTTTTATTTAATTTTTCTTGTGTTCTAACAAGAGCTTTCTTTTCTGGCCAAAGGGTGTGTAAGAACTGACCGAATGTTTTATATTTCCGAGCGCTTTCGGCTATACCTTTAGCCATTATCAAATAATGGAAGCTCTCATAATAAAAAGAAAAATATTATACCTTTAGCCATTATCAAATAATGGAAGCTCTAATAATAAAAAAGAAAAAGCCAACTCTTAACAATATTAACTATGAACAAAGCCACAATGTGCTAACCGTATTCGGAAATTAAAAACATCCCTACCACACACTGATACATACACAGAACGCACACACTCAACTAAGTTGAAAATCGAATCATCCTTGATAATGGCTAAACACAAGAAAAATTAAATAAAAAACAGAACACAAGAAAAATTAAATAAAAAGCTCAACCGTAGTACCTTGTCTGTCGTTTTAATGAAACATACATAAAGGAAGGATTTCTGCCTAAATATACAACTATATATATATATATATATATATATATATATATATATATATATATATATATATATGCTGCTGCTTCTAGCATCTTGGTTGGTATAATTTTTTTTTTCTCCCTGTCCACTCATTCATGTCATCCATGACATACTTTTTCTTTTTCTTTTCCTCATAATTTTAGTTCCCTGTTAACAGTTCTGATGAGAGGGGACGAAACCGGTCGACTGGTGTGTGTTTTGTTTTAAATCTATCATGGCCTACAATATAAAATTTCTTGTTTTTAATGCCTTAATATATATATATATATATATATATATATATATATATGCTAACTTGGTTTCAATCTTACGGTATCCTCAGGCGATGTTTATCAATTGACCTCCCTACGCTTTATTTTTATAAGAACTAATGAACGCTATATTATTTAAAAAAAAAAATAAAAAAACGCACGACGTTGATTGTGATATAAAGGGTTAATAACAGGAGAGATTGGATGGCAGCCTGTCTAGGAGTGGATCAACTCTGAATTCAAAACCTGAGGTAAATATTTAAACTACGGACCCACACTATATTCAATGGTCTTCGGCTGTCGGTCAAAGACTTGAAGAGGCGATAGGCACCGACTACTATCTGAAAGCCCAGTGAAGGGATCATGAGGAGTAAGAATCCAGCAATTCCATGCCTGATCGACAGATCAATCTGGAGAAGGTTGTTTGTTTCTTCTGCCGTCAGGTCATATCGACGATTGAAGCAGTCGTTGTATTAATTATGTTGATGACGAGAATGATGATGTTGATGATATTTGCCTGTACATATTAAGAGGTGTTTAGACAAGGGTACAACTACGGCGTCTCGCGGTGAGGATCAAATTCTCTAATCAGTAGTTGGTTGGTTGATTTTTTTTTCTGGCATATCAATCTCTATGTGTTACTTAATGCCAACCTCTAAATAATTTCAATGTAGTTATATGCCTTCAACTACAGATAAAATCTATTGCTGGTATTATTACAATAAAAATGCATTTTTATACTTTCATATTGTTTTTATTTGGTGATTTACTAATATACTATAGTTAGAATCCAACACTAGTTAGAATGGACCTGGAAACAATAGCAATTAAGAGGTTGTCCTCCACACCACACAGCCTCCAATCTCTCAATTAGAGGCCCTGCTGCCGGGTGTAGTTTATTGCCTCATCAGTAATAATAGTCAAGAGAATGAGCTTGCTAACAATTAATCCATATCGAGTTCAACCACTGAAGCTTTCTAAGAGATTTGATAATATTTCTCATTTTCCGTGTCTTAGTAGTTTTGATTTAGAATTAGATATATTGCTCCGTGTCTATAAACATATCTCTGCTGACATATACCAATAAGGTTATTTCTTAAGTCATAATAAAAAATTAATTCCACCTGTGATCTTTCGAAGTGTTAATATATGGTGTCTTTCAGTCAGATATATACCATATATACTCGTGTACCGCGCGATCTCGCGTATCGTGCGACACCCCCTCCTCACTGTTCACTTATAAAAAATGATTTTATCACGTATCTCGTGTATCATGCGAGTTCCTCTTTTGAGAGACCAAATTACAATAGACTAACCTCTTTTCCTATATATATTTATTCCATCTTCTCGTTAAATAGGTTAAAAAGTTAAAAGAGAATGATAAAAAGTATCGGTAGTAACGCTATACTCGTTGGGTAAACGCGTACAGACATAAACAACCGAACTAGAAAAAATTAAACATCTTACAAACATAAACAATGGAAAAAGATGCATATTCGCTATGTTTGTATTTTATAATACGATAATAATATGTGAATATTACTTGCCTTATTATTGGATACAGTTAAGTAAAACATCAGTTTTATCAAAATTAACTTAAATACAGCAGTACTTTTTGACTACAGAAAGTGGATATATAGTTTGATCAACGACATAGAAAGAACCAACAGTACATTTATATCTCGTGTTTGATGCAACCCCTTAAAAAGTATGTCTTCAAAAGTCGCATAATACGCGAGTATATACTGGAGATAGATTTTTAAAGTCATTTCACCCCAAGCAAGGCAATAAAGCCACTAAGATGCAAGGTGTTACTGTTAGAGAATATTAGAAAAAAAGAATACTATTCAGGAGAGAGAACAGTAAACGAACAAGCAGACAGGAGATCAAGATTGATATTGCATTTAAATTTTTGAAGATCAAAGTTGAATTGAAAGCCAGGCTTATCAACACTTTTTAGGATATTTAAAGCAAAAAATCATGTTGTTTAGATGGTAATAGTGTTTATTTTGGAGATAATAGTGATTTACTGATATAAGTCTCACGAATTAACGCATAGCTTTCGGAGAAGATATGAATTTACACCTTTCCTAAGGGTGTTTGCACGTGTCAATATAACGAACACGAACAGAATTGGATTAATAATTACGAGCCATTTTCCATGACACCGCGCAAGCATCAATGCTCACAGTACCTTGTATTCACAAGCTAGCGTTTAAGGTGGTTTGAATGTACTTGTAAGATGATGAATCTTTTTGGCTAATCTGACTGACATTTTTACAGAGACTTAACGTTATAGCTCTATTCTTACTCCATCGCTATTTGCATGGCAAATGTCCAGACGAGATCCATTCTTCATTTTCACTAGATCCAACTTTTACAACTAGAACAGATTAAGCTATTAAGTAATTTCCACTGAGTCAAATCGTCTGCATTTGCACTGTATTCTAAATGTAAAGACACAGTTCCACTTGGAGAGGTTTTACCGCCAAAATGCCAATTTGTGCAAGACTGTCTCGCGTGAATTTTTCCTGAACACTACAACATTACAACATTAACCTATTCAAATCAAGAATCTATCATTATCGATCCGGCTCGTCTTCATAATCTCTACTGTTTGCCTGCTTCTTACTCGTTCATTTACAACACACATATCATTTATATTGACCATTTTAACGGTAAACCTCTATCTTGAGTGGCTCTTGAGCTTTGTATTGTCTGAACTCTGGTAAATGGAAATATAATGGAAGGGAAGAAAGGGATTGTTAGTGTTCATGAATTGGGAAAAGCAGTACTAACAGTGATATTGAATTTTTAATTAACATGTTTCTTTAATTGGGGAGTCAGGCCGGTAGCCCTTTTCAAAAGGAAATAACGAGAATTCAATAATTGTTATTCTCCTCGGAACTCTTGTCTTGTAATAAGCCGTACCTTTGTTAGATTAACCTCGCAAGTTCTGATTTCGGCTGATTGCTTCATAAGAAATTCATGAAAGCCCGTTTCCCGAAATGCAATTTCTGTTATCTTCCGTTCCGCCATTATTATATTCTTTGTTGTGGTAGGTTTAAATATTGGCTGTGTTCTGTGTCCTAATTATTGCTATTCAGTGTTTTCAGTCGCTCTTCCCCCACCTCTCTCTCTCCCTCTCTCTCTCTCTCTCTCTCTCTCTGTATATATATATATATATATATATATATATATATATATATATATATTAGGTGCGGTCTGAAATACTAGCCACATTTTGAAGGTGGATAAAAAGATCACGATAACAGGTATTAAAAAATGTATTTCAGTATTGTTTAAACAATATGTTGTATTCATTTTATTTTTAAAATGATATACTACAAATGGTCGCCTCTATCCTCCATAGAGTGTTGTAGACGATTTCTAAAGTTTTCCATCAGAGAGAAGTTCGCCGCTTCATGGTCTTCCGTGTGGTTTTCTTTTAAACGCTGAACCTGATGTGTTTCTGACATTTTCAACCCATAGCAATATCAATTTTCCATCCGGAACAGCATCATTCCGACGTAACATGAAATGAACACGAAAATCTATATATTCTGCAATTACGGGCTCACCAGTCTTTAAAATAAATTCAAAAGCAAACGCACAGTGTGCACCGGTTAAAATGGTAAGACATTGGGTAAAGGAAAAAAGAATTGCCATTTACCGAATTTCACACGCACCATACAGGACTCATTTTAAAATATGGGATGTATTTCTTCCGCACCCTATACATGTATTTGTGTGTATGTTTTGGGGCGTGCCTATAATTAATTATATAATTTAACAATTAAAATATGTGGTTATGGGTTGATTTTTCATTGATATTGCTTACCAATATTAATTTCAAGACAGTATTTTTTCGAAGAAAGGAAAAAATGAAATTAATGTCAAACGGAGATTACAAGAATTAGCAGAAAAAAGTTTTACATTAATTTTAGGATAAAGGAGGGAAGAAAAATGTCTCTTCCTTCTTCTTTGCTGGAATGTGATCGTTGCTTTTCTTGTGGCAGCATTAACAAACGTAAAAGTATCAGAATTTGTTCAAATTATCAACGGTCTTTTCATTTATCTTGCGTAGGATTGACGAGAAAGGCTTCAGCGTCTCTGGTTGTTTGGAATTGTTCATATTGTCTGTCTCTATCGGCTCTACAAGATAGTGTGATCCATCAACCTAATGAACCGAGCCAAAGAGATACCAGTGAAGTTTTGAGGGCAACCTTACTCCTTAGGCAATTCCGAAAGGTGCCTTTAAAAATCCCTAAATCTGTCAGAATCCCGGCAGCCGATGCCTTGGCTACTGCCATAGACCAGGCACTTAACTTGAACAGCTCGCTTGACCGGGATCACCTTTTCTCTTTCGCAACAATTGTGCTCGGCATTCCTTACAATAAAGACCCTACATCATCTGTCTCATCTATTTTGAAAAATAACATTTCTTTATTCAATTCGTCTAAAATAAATGCCACCGAATTTTTCTAATCTTTCTTATCCTAATAGATTTCATCCTTCATCTACAGTCGACGATTCTAAGAGACTCCGGGGCCTCATCAATGCTAAGTTGATCGAGGGTGATGTCTCAGCTGTAGTTTTGCTATTGGCCTCATCCGATACTATACTAGCTACTACACCAGAAGTTCTCACAGCTCTCCGTCGGAAACATCCTGCGTCACTATCAGATGTCAGATTTGTTTAGATGGAAAAAAATGATTCAAATATTGAAATCTCAAAGGAAGCAATGGTTACCTCTCTGAAGTCTTTCTCGGAAGCAGCAGTGGAGGTGTGGACTGCCTTCGACCTGGTCACATCAAGGACTTAATTTCTGCCCACACTGCCGGAGCTAGTGAACATTTGAAAACATCTTATTAATACCCTTCTCCAAGCTGAGATACCCCAACATGCACGCGACTTAATATTTTCAGCCAACTTAACGACTTAAAAAAAAAAAGACCGAGGTATCCGCCCTATCGCTGTTGGTAACATTTTTCGTCGTTTCGCGGCAAAAATTGCTTGTAGAGTTATTATGAAAGAGATAGGGCATGAATTGCGTCCAACTCGGGGTAGGCATACAGAGCGGATGTGAAGCCGCGGTTCATGCCACAAGATCATTTTTAGAGAATACATCACCTGTTTTCTCCTCTATCTTATTAAAATTGGATATGAAAAACGCTTTCAATAGCATCAGAAGGGATCATACCCTGGAAGTTTACCATCAACGGACTCCTTCCATATTTAAACTGGCTTATCTTTCGTATAGTCATCCAAGTATGTTGATCGCTTCCAATAATATTATCTCTTCTGCTTCTGGAATCCAGCAAGGTGATCCACTTGGTCCGTAGCGGACCAAGTGGATTTACGATGGCTATTGACGGGGTAGCTCGTTCCATCGCTTCTCCTCTCAATATATGGTATCTTGACGATGCAACGTTGGGAGGATCCATCGAGGCTGTAGCTGATGACCTCCAACGAGTTATTCCTGCTTTATCTCTGCTTGGACTTGAGATTAACTCATCCATGTCTTATAAACTTGAATTATAGTGCAGATGATTTCGAGAGTGCGATCCGGGATATCAGACTCGTCCTTGAGGATATAAAAATAACACCTTAGGAGGAATTACATATTTTTGGTTCTCCAGTGTTTCCAATGGCCATTCGACAGTGTTTGGATACTAAGCATGTCATTCTAACAAGAATGACTGAGAAATTGCAACTAATTGATGCACGCCAAGCCCTCTTCTTCTTGAAGCATAGTTTTTTGCTACCGAGTTTCCTCTACACTCTCCGAAGTGCCCCTTGCTACCTCGAACAGGATTTCTTAAATGAGATAGATATCACAATTAAGAGATGCACGGAGATAATTTGAAACGTTAATTTAGACGACACAGGCTGGAGGCAGGCAAAGCTCCCTTTCGATCTGCGGTAGATTTGGCCCTTCCAGCTTCCTTCACTTTCGTCCAGTCGCGAATTAATTGATGAGATACTCGGTGGATCGTCTCAGTGTTTCTCGGGTAGTTCTTCCGAACAAGCGTGCAGCGTTTGGGCCCTAGAATTAATTTTTATCCCACTAGACACATCAACACAAAAAGGCTGGGATAAAATAAAATGCGAAGCCAATTTTACTAATTTGAGGCTCTCTCTTGATCAGCATCGCCTCGAATGTCTACTATCTGTTTCCCAATCGATTAGTGGCGCCTGGCTCAACGCAGTGCCCTCTTCATCTACCGGTAACCTTCTCGATGTTGAGTGCACTCGAGTCGGAGTCGGGATCCGTTTTGGACTCAAATTATGTGAGCGTCACAGATGCAGATGTGGAACCTCCATCGATGAGTTTGGTTTGCGTCCTCTCTCCTATCGTCGTAGTGCCAGCCGCTTTCTACGGCATGCAGCCATTAACGACATCATCAAAAGAGGTTTGGATGCAGCTGGGTTCCCTTCTCAAATCGAAACCGTAGTCCTCGACCGTGGTGATGGAAAGAGGCCGGGTGGCATTACCATTTTCCCTTTTGAAATGGGGAAGTCGTTGATTTGGGATGCAACCAGTGCGGATACATTTTCGGCCGGTAATTTGATCAGGTCTGCGGTTGAGACGGAGTCCGTCGCCCGGGTCGCAGAGATAATTTTTTTTTTTTTTTTTACTCCTGTGGCAGTGGAGAATTCTGGGGTTATTGGCCCTCGTTCTATGGCGTTCCTTCGGAGGATTGGCGCGATTGCGTCTCGATTAAGGAATGAGCCTCGCGAAATGGAGTGGCTCTTGCAGCGTGTCTTACTGGCGATGGTTCGGGGTATTGCTGTCTTCATCATTGCGGCTGGCAGAGGATAGCAACAAAAATAAATAAATAAATTGTTTATAGTTACTTTGATCAAACTTTTTTTTCAATAAAATATTGTTGGATTTCAAAAAAAAAATAAATAAATAAAAAATTCCTTCTGAGAGCGCACGAGAATTCATCCTCTCGTCCGCTTTTCTTTAAAGAACTTAATA